TTTCCAAACTCCTTCAGGCATGCGTGCATTCTTTTAGTGGCTAATCTCTTTTTCAATTGACATGAATCTCCACATAAAATTGGGCTCATCATTTTGGGCCCAAACTATGGCCATTAATCACTTGTCATATTAGCCCAATAGTCTGAAAACAATGCACAAAAATATCATAGCACTCAAATCCATCTAATAAATAAATGAGTCGAAAAACATATAAGTGCGATAAAATTAAGCATATAAAAATACGCTAAGAATTATATAAAATACACACTCTTTTTCGACCAATCAACATAAATCGAACAAGCCCTAGGTTACTTCTACAACTGAGATAGTGAAATAGTCAAAAATGGAGATAGTAAGTTGTTGTTGTATGGAATTTAACAACTTAAATTAACAAAACCAAGGTGTAATTAAAGAAAAGCAACGTAGATATTTTGTATTATTGCTATTTTTTATAGTACAAGAAGTCGGTTTTTATGTGTAACTGAGTTGTTCTTTTCCTCCGTGTGTAATGTGTGTCAAAAGATCCCTGTACAATCATAAATTTTTGCTATTTATAGTGCGGCGGATTTGACTTTTCATACGAGGTAGATCAGATCGCATTTAATGTTGAGCTGCTTCAATTAAGCGGTCTGTAAGGTGTTGAGGGGACAACAATGATTAGTTTTTGGTTAGATGGTCCAATCAGGAGTATGCTGCTTCACCTGCTTTGGAATCCGATCATCTCAGATCTCGGTTTAAGTAGATAATCTTCGATAGAGAATGTTCTCGAAGTCGGTTCTTCTATCTTTTGTGTGAAGTCGGTTTTACACCCAAAATGTATGAGGTCGGACGTTATTCATTTGAACCGAGATGGGCTAGGTTAGCCGCCGAAAGTAAATACAAAGAATTTCATCATTAAATCTCCCTTTAATCTTCAAAAATCAAGTCGGTTGTCAACATAAGCCTTAAGACTAAGTACTTACGTCCCTAATGCATGCTCGAGCGAAGACGACAAAGAAAAATCAAAACTTGCATAATAAACGAGTCGCCGAAAAGCTGACCGGAAAACATGAGTTTAAGCCTCCAAAAATATAAGCTAGAGAGAAAACTAAGAATAACATAAGATCCAAAAGAGGAAAAATGAAATAATGAGTCTAGGTGCTCTAAAATACAAAGGACTAAATGTATTTATTGTGCTACTTCAAAGGCACACACTTCTCGCACACACACATTAAATGATTTTGCAGTTCGGGGGTCTCGAAATCAATTTCACTACAAGTGTAAGGTGAAAACAGTAAGCACGGGCGCGTTTCGCGGGTCGCGAGAAGGATTTCGCAGCGAGTGCCGGGCCTTGCTGCCACGGGTCGCGAGTAAGATCTCGCAGTGAGTGTCGGGCCTTGCTGCCGCGGGTCACGAGTAAGATCTCGCAATGAGTGCCGGGCCTTGCTCCCGCGGGTCGCGCTTCGCCGATCGCGAGCAAGATTTCGCAGCGAGTGTTGTGGGCTTTGGCTGTTGCGCGCGCCTGCTCACGAGTTTTGAAAACGAACTCACTGCGAGTGCCGAGGTTGCGGATATCTCGCGGGTCGCGAAAAGATGCTTGTGGACGACATCTTCACGGGGTGCGACTCGAGGCTCTCGGCGAGTGTGACTGCTGGGAGAGGGGTTCTCGGGCGCTCGCGAAACCCGGTTCACTGCGAACGTGGATGTGTCCCGACTCCTGCACTCCGGTGACTCAATGGCAATCTCTCTCTCCGAAACTCATGTGGCTCAATCAAATAGTTTGACTAACTCGTCTCGAAAGAGCTTGAATGTGGCTCGATCAAATGGCTCGACTAACTCGTCTCGAAATAGCTTGAATGATTGGCTCGGATGGCTCGTCTAGAAATGGCTCGGACAATAGCTCGCCTTCCTCAAATGTGCATAGAGGACCTAAACACACCAAAAAAGACAAGAAAATACACCAAAATACAAAAACACACAACGAAAACGAAAACACATAAAACACGACAAAATAGACCAATTGACACAAAAACTAACCTAAAAACGACTCGACCAAGGCATATCAAACACAAGAAAACGCCACAAAAACATAACAAAACGATCTACAAATCATAAGATCTCATTGACATGAACATAAATTGTTTACAAACTCGAAGGCTCCTTGACATGAGCATAAAATGTCTACAAAATAAAGCTCACTGATAGGAGAATAAAAGGTCTACAAGTCAACTATGAAGCTCCTTAACACAAGCATAAAACGCCTACAAAATCATGATTTTCTTGATAAGAGAATAAACTATTTGCAAATTCTAAAGCTCCTTGGCACGAGTATAAAATGTCTTCAACTCAAATCAAATCAAAACTCCTTAATACGAGTATAAACTATCAAAAAATCAAATCAATACTCCTTGACACGAGAATAAAAGGTCTACAAATGAAGACCTCCTTGCTACGAGTATAAACTATCTATAAATCAAACCAAATCAAGAACTCTTGATATGAGTATTAACTATCTATAAATCAAGTCAAATCAAAATTCGTTGATACGAGTTTAAACTATCTACAAATTAATATAGTTGAAGAACTCCTTGATACGAGTTTAAACTATCTACAAGTTCAAGTTAAGGAACTCTTAGATAAGAGTTTATATTATCTGCATGTCTAAATTAAATCCAAAATTTTACATTCACTATCAAAACATTTTTGTCCATGAACAAGTCTCAGGGGACATTTGTAGACATCAAAATTTTAATATTTTATTAATTAATGTCCTTATCTATTTTTGGGGCATAAATCCAAGAAACATGAGATCTATAATTAATAAAGTGATTATTTCTTACCTACCAAGTCAAATTTTAGGATAAGGAAAAAGATTACATCAAATCATAAAGGACCAATCAAATTGATGTCTTCTTTTCTAAGACCCTCTTTCCTACACCTGTAAGTATGGCTCTTCCAAAGCCAAAAGGGACACCTGATAAATCAAAGTCTCAAGTCCAAGGGTTGTCAATAATTCTCTTAAAAATCCAAATGTGTTCTTAAAGATCCAAGACATCCAAGTTGAATATTGACATTCAAATCCAAGTCCATCTCCGAGAAGGATCAAAGAAAAATAAGAAGTCGTCTTCAATCAAATCAAGTCCTAACATTTAATACGAGAATAAGTCATTCGACCCCCAAATTAATATTAAAAAAAACTCAAGATCAAGCCCGAATGAGATCCAATTGTCAAATCCAAATTTAAAGATCAAACCCAAGTCCAAGAAGAGAATAATCAGATGAGACATATAAAGATTGTACCCGCAAAATCGTTTGACCGAAATAAAATCAAGTTGTGCAAAAGTTCTATATTTTTCACAAAATTTGTTGTTACAATTTCTTAGAGATATTCATGAACTATGAGTAAAAATATCTTATAAAGATATTACAATCATGAAGTTTGACTTTATGTTTGGTCAAAATATTTTTAATTATTTGAATAAAGTAGACTTTTTGTCTATGAATTAAGAAAATTTTTTCCTAGTATTGGACTCAACGGGTATGAATGGTTTTTTATGAGAACGTCAAAATTAAAATGAAATAAAATCTCATGTAACATAAATAAATAAAAGACAAATGCATCTATAATATACATTTGGTCTTTATTTAATTATTATTTTTTATGTATGGACTTATTTTTAATGTATTTTTGTTGGGGTTGTAATACGTTAATTTATTCCTTTTATATTAGAAAATTGTTATGTTATTTGTGAAAAAAAAAAAATACAACTTACTTGTTCTACATTTTATTTCGTTCCTTCAATGATATGTTTATTAAATTAATTAATTTATTTTACTAAACCTAATCAACAAAAAACATTAACAACCATCGCACGTGCAGCTTACTAATATATTAAAGGAAAACTACACTTAACCCACCTATCTATACGGTTTTTTTGCATTTTACCCACTCAACTTTTTTTCGTGACACTTTGCCATATAACATTCTAAATAATTGCACTTAACCAATTTCCGGTCATTGTCCATTTCTAAAGGCAAAGTGTAAATAAAAAAAAATTGAGTGGGTACAGTGCAAAGAAACGTATAGGTGGTTGGGTAAAGTGTAAATTTTTCAATGACAATTAACTTAATGAATGACTGAAAAGTCAATTTTGCCCTTAGAAATTCCCGACCGTGACCGGAAATTAGTTAAGTGCAAATTTTTGCAAAGTTATATATAGTGTCACGAAAAGAAGTTGAGTGGGTAAAGTGCAAAAAAACCCTATAATTAACTAGGTTAAATTTAGATTTCCCTATATTAAAACTTACGTGATCCATTGTCCAACCTCAAGCCGCCCGTTGGCCATGGTCCACCAAGTAATAATATTGTAATAAGCAAATAATTTATGATGATTAGGGCATCCACAACGGGGCATTAATTAGCTCCGTTTAAATGACAGTTGAACGTTCAAAGCGATGCAGTCATCCATTAAGTGCGTGGACCCATTAGTTCGTTCATTGTTTTGAACGGCATCTTTTGGTGCTTTTATTATTTTTTTATTTTATTTTATTTTTTTGTTTCATTTAATATTTAATTTTCTTTTGGTCCCATTGATACCGTTAATATGTTTCAACGGCTCTTTTGAGTCCTTTTTATTTTTTTTTTTATTATCCGCAGCTCTTTTTTTTTATTATTCTTATATTTTTGCCTATAAATACACTTCATTTTTGTAATTGTACTGTTTTTTCTTGTGTAATATTAATTTAAGGTATTTTGGTCTTGTAGTGTTCTTTTATTTTCATGCATTTAAAATTTATTAATATAATTTAAAAATATTAAATTTTTATTTTTATTGAGAATAGAATATTAAAATTTATATTGAATGAGTGGATATAATGAGTCTCATATTTGTATTTAAATGAATGTGTAGGATGTAGGTGTGTGTTTAAATGGAGAGAGAATTAGTGAAAAGATGATATGAATGAGAGAGAGTATAACTTTTTTATTGAATGAATGGAAAAAACATTAAACGAATGGAGATGCCTTGTATCGACTGGTGCGCTTCCCTTTTTCTTCATTTTCATATTCCTTTTGTCTGATCAATTCATGATCTCATGGATGACGAAATTAAACAACAGACCAGACTTATAGTAAACACTTACTACAAATTTAATCATCCATCTTTAAATCTTCTGCACTCTCCAATCTCAAAAATTATATAATTACAGTAAATATTGAGTCCAATTGAGAAAAATATGGTGGGGAAAATAGCCAGTGCCTGGGCTGCCAGGGACTCATCTGGTCATCTTTCACCTTACTCTTTCCATCTCAGGTTCCTCTCATAATCCAACAAAATTAGTATATGTTTTCCAAAAAAAAAAATTAATTTTATTTTTGCAGATATGTTTAATTAATTGCATCATGAACAGGGAAAAAGGCCCCGAGGATGTGGTGTTGAAAGTGTTGTACTGTGGAGTTGACCATACAGACCTTCATCAGGCCAGGGGTGAACTGACTAGCAGCATCACCAAATACCCTTTTGTTCCAGGGTACATTATTTTTTTTGAATTTCGTATGGATGTATTTTTGTTTTAAAAAAATTGCACAAAATTCACTTTTACAACCATTTTTTTTTTTTTTTGGGGTAAAGCCATGAAATTGTTGGAGAAATTGTTGAGCTTGGATCACTAGTTAAGAAATTCAAAGAAGGGGATATAGTTGGAGTTGGAGGGATTATTGGCTCTTGTGGAGAATGTAGTTTATGCAAATCCAATTTGGAGCAATATTGCAGTAACAAAGTGTTCACTTACAACCACATCTACAACGACGGGACCCCCACGCACGGCGGATTTTCTTCCGCTATGGTTGTTCATCACAGGTTCGATGAAAACTTGATCTTTAATTTAGTCCTCATACTGTTCTCGTAATACTTAAAACATTCCAATTAATCCGCAAAAATGGGCACAACAGTTTTGCAGTTAAAATCCCGGACAAGCTGGCGCCAGAACAGGCTGCCCCGCTGTTATGCGCAGGCGTGACTGCTTATAGTCCTCTCAAACAATTCGAGGGTATTTCTGGAAAAGTCATCAGCGGAGGAGTATTAGGATTGGGAGGCGTCGGTCACCTGGCTGTCGTAATAGCAAAAGCAATGGGCCATCATGTGACCGTTATAAGTTCTTCGGACAATAAACGGCAAGAGGCAATCGAGCATTTGCAAGCTGACTCTTTCCTCGTGAGCACGGATGAACATGAAATGAATTTGGCAGCCAACAGCCTCGATTACATTCTCGACACAGTCCCTGTTGTTCACCCCTTGGAACCCTACCTCAAGCTCTTGAAAGCAGAAGGAAAATTGGTGATTGTTGGGGCTGCTACTCGTCCGCTTCAGTTTCTGGCTTCCGACATAATTCAAGGTTATATTATTTCGTGTTCACTAATGATGATTTGCTAAATTTAGATAGTACAAATAAATATTGAGATGATAGTTACTAAGTAAATGTTCAGGGAAAAAGATGATCACGGGAAGTTTGCTAGGGAGCATGAAGGATATGGAGGAGCTGCTGGAGATGTGGGTGGAGAAGGGGTTGAAGAGCTTGATTGAGGTGGTGAAAATGGACTATGTGAATGAGGCTTTTGAAAGGATGGGAAAGAATGAAGTGAGGTACAGGTTCGTGCTTGATGTAGCCAGCAGTAACCTTTGAGCCAATGTACATTTATTGAATAAAGTTTGGATTCGTATTTGAACATCAAGAATTTGTGTAGGGTTGAGATTTGCAGTTGAAATTGTCGTGTGGGCCGAGAATACTTTTCTATGTTTTGTCTCGTTGTAACAAGTATTTGGACACGTTTCATGATTGTTTTGGTTATTGGAAATTGAGTAATTTAGTTTTGATTATCCTAAAATGATTAGTTTCTCGAAAGGCATAACTACACCCTGTATCGTAAGATACTAGGATGAGAATTGATCTGTAGACAGAGTAAAAGCATAATGCAAACGGTATAGACAGTAGAGATAAGATGGTTGTTTAACCTGCAAGTAGACAGTAGAGCATAAAGTAGATTTTTTTTTTTTTTTTTTAATAAAACTATGTTGCCAGGCCGGCCTTTTAAAAGATCAACGTTTATTCATTTTCGTTACTGTCTATGATCTTTATAAAAGTTGATGTTTTCTAGGTGGGATGGTTCCTTCAATCAGGACATGACTTGTGTTGATGAATAAAAGCTTTATCCTCCCGATTCCCATACGCAAACTTGAGTACGAAAATAAAAGATTTTTTTTCTTAAACAGAACTAAGAACTCAAACCATATACAGATTGAGTTTAATGCTTTTACCTCTACACGAAACTCATTTTGAACATCCTACCGATTGATAATAATTAGATGCATGCATAGATGATATATACTATCACTCTATATATATCTAGCTTTGTTCTATATCAATAATAGACAATTCACTTGGAATTTTCACTACAAATCTACTCATTCTCACCAAGAACTTTTAGCATGATCTCTCTTGGTATGCACACAGCCTCCAGCGGCTCCAATTTGGGCATCGTCAGCCCAATTCCTTCAGCCAAATCAACTTCCTCAGCACCCACCCTCTCCCAATCAAAGCACTGAATCAACGAGCCCAAGCCCAAGCCCACCATCCTCCAGCCCAGCCCAGCTCCCGGGCACGCCCTCCTCCCCATTCCAAAAGGCATCAGCTTTTGCGTTTCCACCTCTGTCCCCGCAAACCTTTCGGGCCTGAACCTCATGGGCTCGGCCCACACTCCCGGATCCCTTTGTATGGCCCATGCATTGACCAATAAGATCGTTCCACGCGGGACGTCATAGCCCCCAATCTTGCAGTCCGCGGATGCCTCGCGGGGCACCCCGAGGGGCCCGGCCGGGAACATACGAAACGTCTCATGGATGATTTTGTGGAGGTAAGGCAAGTTGGGCAGATCTTTCTCCTCCAATAAACGGTGAGGCCCGACTCGCGAGTCGAGCTCTGATTGGGCCTTTTGGAGCACTTGGGGATGGTTGAGCAGGAGGGCCATGGCCCATTCTATAGTCCCCACTGATGTGTCGGTGCCGGCAATTATCATGTTCTGCACAAGGGATTATCGATTTTAGCATACTAAAGAGTCGCACATTTTACACGGATATTAAAGGATTTCTCCCCTTTTTCTGCATAAATTTCAGATCTGAATTAGCGAATCAGAATTTCTTAATAGAAAATGACAAAGAAAAATGCAACAGAGAATAGAATTGTGTAATGTGTTACGGTTATAAAGCCCTTAATGATTTGATCCGTGTAGAATTCCGGGTTGGATTCTTGCAGTGACAACAAATGCCCAATAATGGTGTTCCTCTTCTCCTGGCGATGCTCCTCCAGCAAATCCTGGTAAAAATCGTCCAGTTTTTGACCCAGGGCAACCATTTTCTTCTCCAGACCTCTGTAATCAATCCACCTCAAAAATGGCAGGAAGTCCTCTGGATTAGACGACTGTGCGTAGGCGAAAACCTCGCTCACCATCCCACGAAATCTCTCTCCTAATTTCTCGTCACTGCAGTAACGCTTGCCAGCGAGCATCCTCATTATAAGATTGAAAATGAATTCGAAAACCACGGGCCTCAATTTCACGTTCGTGCGCTGTGGATTCCGGGAAATTAGGGTTCGAATAGTTCTCCTGATTTCGTCCTCTCTGATCCGCGCGAAGGCGTTCAGGCGGGAGGGTGATAAGACCTCCTCTGCGCCCAAGCGGCGGAGGTTGCGCCACTGGCGGCCGTAGGGGGCACCGGCCATGGTAGTGTGGCTATAGCCTATGTATTCGTCAACCAGGACTCGCGGGCGATTGGAGAGGACGATGTCTTTGGCGCCGACGAAGCACTCGGCCACCAGATCCGGCGATGACACCACCACCACGCGGCGGAAGCCGAGCTTGAGGGAGAAGATGGGGCCGTGTTTCTCTGAGAACTGCTGGAAGGTCCGGTGAAGGGGCTGCTTCAGGAGGTGGAGATGGCCGAAGACGGGGATCGCCGGCGCCGGGGACGGAGGCAGGCGGTGGTTTTTTCCCGTGAAGGGTTTGTTGAGGAACATTATTAGGAAGATGAAGAGCAGAGTGAGTGAGGTGTAACAGAGGGTGGGTTCCATTTGGCTGCTTTTTCCGGTGGTGAGTGGAATGGTTTGAGCGAGGGAGAACAAGCTATAGTGTTACTTTGATAACGAGTGCATCTTCCATAATAATTAAATTTTATTTCGTCATAGATTCCAAGAGAATTTTTTTTTTCTTTTTTTTTTTCTTTTTTTTTTTGAACCATATGTTGTAGAAAATCAAATAATACATTTGGACAACAACATAAATAGACAATCAACCATCTAGCTGAAACTAGTGAAAGCATATCATAGACTATCACAACGCACTCACAACTATACACTACTATTACTAGTGGAGAATAATACTTTTAAGAGAGAATAAACATCACAACAACCATATAAAACACAAAACACCTAAAAACCAAAAATAATAATAATAATAATAATAAATCAAAATAAAGCCCTCCCCTGCACTTGGTAGACTGCTCCAAAACAACGTTGCACGAGACGACAGCCGAAGACCACACACCCAAGATAGACCACATCTAAGGATACAAATCTATCTACTCCCTTCACCAAGAATATATTGACGACGACTAACATAGATCTAACCGTAACCGAACCAAACATCAATCTCAGAGCCGCACCCTAAAGGCCTACACCAACCCCTTCCCCACTACAACTCCGACTAGAGCCCCCGAACAGAGCCGAAAACGGCTCCCGTCAGTAGTAAGTCCCCATCCCAATCCCAGAAGACAAACAAGATAGTTTGAAATAAACTTATCCTTCACGTATCGTTCAATACACACATAATGTATTAATGTAATTCATTCAAATTATACTACAACCGTCGACGATGATTTGTTCAATTCCATCTAGGCTATCAACTAAACTTTATTATTTACAAGTAATCGATAGTATGATTTTTGGTTCATCATATCTATCAGTAAAACATTAGAATGTAGAAATGTTTAATTAAACAAACTTTCAACATATACACTAAAAATTAACCGAAGAAGAAATGTTTTCATAACATGTATATTACTCAAACATAATTTCATGATTTCACATATGTTCAACGGTAAATATACATTGGATATCTTTTTTGGTATGCTGTTTATTTGTCTAGTAAAACACCAGCGAAAACAAAGGAATATTCGTTACGTAATATCCGCACTAGTACAAACTGATATTGCATAATCATACAAACTTCTCCATAGCAGAATGAAATCCAATGTTTCGATCAGACAGCCCCACCAAACACATTATGCAGCAAATCACGAGATTTGCACATGGCTTCCAATGGTATCACTTTGGGCATCGATGTCCCAGTCCATTCGGCCAAATCGACCAAGGCCTCATCAACCCTATGCCACTCAAAGCCCTGAATCAGAGACCCTAAGGTCAAGCCCACCATACGTTGGGCCAGACCCATACCCGGGCACGACCTCCTTCCCATGCCAAATGGTATCAACTTTGTAGGCTCAACCTCTCCAGCTTCGAAACGCTCGGGAATGAAGCTGGTGGGGTCGTCCCAAATTTTAGGGTCCCTGTGAATGCCCCATGCGTTGACAATCAGGATCGTGCCACGTGGTATATGGTACCCACCAATGGTACAATCACTCGATGCCTCGTGATGTACAAGCAGTGGACCTGCTGGGAACAATCGAAATGTCTCGGAGATAATGTCTTGAAGATAAGAGAGGTTGGATAAATCGGATTCGTTGATAAGACGGTCTTTTCCAACAAGATTGTCGATCTCGATTCTGGCCTTGCGGAGTTTGTCAGGGTTGTTGAGTAGGGCGGACATGGCCCATTCTACTGTCACTGCTGACGTGTCGGTCCCGGCTAGCAGCATAACCTGCCATAAAGCACATTTTCAGGTGTATGTCATTTAGATTAAACAATTGGTATATTTCGTGGTCAAACTTGGCTTCTAAAAGCGAAAGAAATATTTTTTTTTTTTTTTGAGGGATGCTGGTTCGATGGTCACTATCAGTATGTGACGTATGGTGTATGTCGAAAAGTCCCAAATTAACTCATATAAATGCTGCCATTAAGAAGCCGTCTATATCAGTCATCGAGGTCATATCCTTATTAAAACTGTTTTTAAGAAATATATAATTTGAAATTAAAATATAATATTCTAATAAACTAAGTAAATTATAATATGATATTCTAAATAAATATTATAATATTTTATATTATAAATATAAAGTTTTGATATCGAAGTATTTAAGTCAAAGTTGGTACCGACTATACAGATCCACAAATAAAGTTGGAAAAATGTGAATGAAAAAATTAAAAGGGACATACCAGAATAATTCCTTTAATGGTGATGTCATTGTAGTACTCGGGTTCATTCTCCTGCAGGGAAAGCAGGTGGTCGATCATGGTGTTGCCGTCCTCGCTCCGCCGTTGCTCCTCGATCAGCCGCTGCAGAACGGCGTCCATTTTCCCGCTTACCATTGCCAATTTCTTCTCCAACCCCTTGTAATCGATCCACCTCAGCACGGGGATGAAGTCTCCCGGGTGAGACACGCCGCCGTAGCCGAGAACCTCCTTAATCAGCTCCCGGAACTCCCTGGCTTCCTCATCCCCGTCGTCGACCACCCCGAAGTACCTCTTCCCGGCCACCATCCGCATGATGTTGTTGAAGGTCACCTCCAAAAGCCCAGATCTGAGCTCCACCTTCGCAAATCCCCCAGAATACGACGAGACCCAGTTGTGGAGCTTCCGCATGTTGGCTTACAATATGTTGTGCATGGACATCACTTGCTCGTTTCTTTTTTCTTATTGTTACGTCGTGTTTTACTTGTAAAGTCGCATTTCTTTTCTTTATTTTAAGCTGTTTTTAGTTAGTTGCTTGTTAGGTGACGTGGCCATTCTGTATTGGTCATTATGGATCTTAAGCTCGAGTATATAATCGAGCATCGTTCTCTTGTAATTTGATTTTTTTGATTCTGAGAAATAGTACAGAAAATTTCCCAAATTATCTCGAGCTTTCAAGCTTTACATGGTATCCAGAGCAGGTAAGCAATGGCGCGCAATGGCGATGGCAGAGGAGGAAGAGAAACAACGGGTAACAGATACACACGCGATACAGATCCACTTTTGCTTCACGGCTCAGATCATCCAGGAATGGTGCTCGTGAGCAATCAGCTCACGGGTTATAACTACCTTCACTGGAGCCGTGCGATAAGGTTAGCGCTTGGAGCGAAATCCAAACTAGGTTTCATTCATGGCACGGTAACAGTTCCAGATCTAGATTCAGAGGATTATGAACTGTATCAAAAGGAGGAGTTTATGGTGATGTCGTGGATGATGAACTCGATCTCGAAAGACATAGTCGAAGCCTTTATGTGTGTGAAAAACTCAAAGCAGCTATGGGACGAGCTAGCTGAGAGGTATGGAGAAAGCAACGGACCGCTTCAATACCAACTGAAGAAGGAGATCTCAAACTTTGCGCAAGGTAACCTCACCGTCACTACCTATTATACGAAACTGAAGTGCCTTTGGGATGAGTATGCTTGCTTAGTGGCTTTACCTGAGTGCAATTGTGGTGCTAAGAAGGCGTATAGTGATAATGATTCAGAAAGTAAGGTCATGGAATTTTTAATGGGATTAAATGATGTTTTCGAGCCAGTAAAGAATCAAATACTGTTGATGGAGCCTTTGCCTACCATTAACAAGGCATACTCCATGATACTAAAGGTGGAAAAACAGAAATCGATGCAGAACTCAGGGTTTGAAGGAATGGATAGCTCAGCTATGTTGGTAAAGGGTGGATATGGGAGAGGAGGAACTGGCTTTGGCAACTTTGGTAGAGGTAATGCAGGAATTGGAAGTTTTGGGAGGAATGCTGCTGGTAGAGGTTCGTTTGGACAGACTAATAATAATCCAGCAAGGGGCAGAGGTCAATTTAGACTTTCCAAGGAAGAAAGAGCCAAGTTGTTTTGTGAGCACTGTGGCTATAATGGACATGACATGCAAGGCTGTTTTAAGCTTAATGGGTATCCTGATTGGTATAAGGAACTGAAAAACCAGAGATTTGGCCAAGTTGCTAACATGGTGGATGATCAAAGTGCAAACAACAAATCAAGTGAAACTGATGGAGAAAAACAACAAACCCTTGGTCCTTTTGGAGATATTAGCTCCTTACTGCAGAAAGAAATTGCAAAATATATGACTGGACAACAAGGTGGAGACTCATCTTCTTGTTCACATCACAGTGATTTTTCAGGAAATATCAATCATTTTGGTTTTTCTTTACTGTAAAACATAGAGGAGACTAGCTGGATTGTGGACAGTGGAGCTAGTAGGCATATTTGCTGTAACTTGGATTTGGTAAATACTTACAATGATATGGATGTTCCAATCACAGTTAACCTACCCAATGGAGCCAAGATTAAGGTGAAAAGGATTGGGAGTGCCAAGCTAAATGAAGATATTATCTTGCACAATGTCTTGATAGTACCTGAATTTAAATATAACCTGTTGTCCATTGGTCAACTCACTGAAGGAAAAGGGTTGATATGCACTTTCAACAAACAGGAATGTTGTCTACAGGATCCTGAAAGCAACAGGTTACTAGCAAAGGGTTTGATTCATGGAGGTCTCTACATTATCAAAGGTAACCAATGTGCAGTTAACCAAGTTCAGCAAATACATATTGGAAATCAGGAGTTGGAATTGTGGCACAAGAGGCTGGGACACAGCTCAATATCATGTTTAAGGCATATTGACTTCCTGAAGACCTTTTGTCAAAATGTCAAACCATGTGATGTATGCCATAGAGCAAAACAAAGCAGATTGCCATTTCATCTTAGCACAACCAGGACAGAAAACATATTTGATTTGATACATGTTGATGTTTGGGGGCCTTGCCATGATGAGTCTATTATGAATGTGTCCTACATGTTAACAATAGTGGATGACAGAACAAGGTGTACATGGATATTTCTCATGAAGTACAAGTCTGAAACATGCCTGAACTTACAACATTTCCTTAAAATGGTAAAGGTTCAGTTTTGTAGATTGGTCAAACAGGTGAGGACTGACAATGGGTCAGAACTTCTGGGACAAGATGTACAAGACTTATTCAAAGAAAAGGGAATTGTACATCAAAGAACTTGTCCCTATACTCCTCAACAGAATGGTATAGTTGAAAGAAGGCACAGGACTATTTTGGAGATTGCAAGATCCTTATTATTCCAGTCAAATATGGATAAGAAGTTTTGGCCATACACATTGTTGAGTGCTGTACATATTCTAAACTCCTTGCCAAGTGAAGTTTTAGGTTGGAAAGCACCATATGAATTACTTCATGACAAGCAGCCAGATTATGGAAAATTCAAGGTGTTTGGTTGCTTGGCTTATGCATGCAAACACAATCCCAGAAGAAAGAAGTTTGATGAGAGAGCTCAAGCATGTGTTTACCTGGGCAGTGTGGGTGGTGTCAAGGGCCACAGACTATATGATTTAAAGGATGAGACAGTGTTTATCTCAAGAGATGTGACCTTTTATGAAGAAATTTTTCCTTTTCATAAGGATTTTTCAGACCGTATTCCACAGGCTACTTTACCAGTTCCAAATACTTTGCCACATTTGTATGAAGAAAGTGAGGAGGAGGCTAGGACTGCACATCCAGAAGAAACTCCTATTGCAATCGAAGGGAAAAGACTCAGAAAACCACCTGCTTGGCTGCAGGATTATGTGGCTCACACTAATCATAATAACTCATCACAGAAAGCACATGCATTATTCATGACAGAAGTCGAGAAAACTGCCACTGAACCCTTGTTTTATGGACAGGCTGCTAAGGACCCTAAGTGGGTATTAGCCATGCAAAGGGAATTAGATGCTTTGGAATTAAACCATACTTGGAAGCTGACACCTCTTCCACCGGGTAAAAAGGCCATTGGATCAAAATGAGTTTATAAAATCAAAAGGAACCCTGATGGATCTATTGACAAATACAAGGCACGACTTGTAGCTAAGGGTTTTTTGCAGATTGAAGGGGTTGATTTTAGGGAAAGCTTCTCACCTGTAGCAAAGTTGGTGACTGTCAGACTCTTGATTGCCTTGGCTGTGCAAAATGGTTGGCCTTTGCATCATATTGACATCAACAATGCCTTCCTTCATGGGTTTCTTGAAGAAGAGGTGTACATGTTACCACCACAAGGTTATCTCAAAGCTAAGAAAGGAGAAGTATGCCTTTTGCAGAGGAGTCTTTATGGTTTGAAGCAGGCTTCTAGACAATGGAACTTGGAATTTTCAGCCAAATTGGTTGCCTATGGTTTCTCTCAGTCTACTCATGATCACTGTCTTTTTATAAAAGAAACTTCTCAAGGTTTTTTTAGCCCTTATCATCTATGTGGATGATGTTTTACTCACAGGGACATCCACTGAAGATATCAATCATCTGAAGTTGTACTTGGACAAGCTATTTACTATTAAGGATCTTGGTCTCGCAAAATACTTTCTTGGGTTGGAAATTGTTCAGGTTAATGAAGGTGCTCACCTCTGTCAGAGAAAGTATATCCTTGATATGGTTAAGGATCTTGGGCTGCAAGATTGTAAGGCTACTGTCACTCCCTTCCCACAAGGCCTTAATCTTTCTACACATCAAGATTCACTATTGCCTGATCCTGAACCTTATAGAAGGCTTGTGGGAAGGCTCTTATACCTGAATTTGTCCAGACCAGATGCTTCTTATGCCATTCAGCATCTTAGTCAGTTTATTAGAGCCCCTTTGGAGAGTCATTGGTCTGCAGCTATACACTTCGTCAAGTATTTGAAGGGCAGCTGCACTTTAGGCCTATACTTTCCCAAGCAGTCCACTGCTTCTCTTCAGGCTTTCTGTGATGCTGATTGGGGTACTTGTGCCATCACAAGGAAGTCTATTACTGGCTATTGCATTTTCTTGGGGGATGCCTTAATATCTTGGAAGACAAAGAAGCAGAAGACTGTGTCCAAATCTTCTGCAGAAGCTGAGTACAGGGCCATGGCTGCTACTGTTTGTGAATTGCAATGGGTTGTTGGGCTTGCTAAGGATCTGCTTTTTCGCGCTTCTCTTCCTATCCCTCTCTGGTGTGACAACAAAGCTGCCCTTCACATCACTGCCAACCCTGTCTTCCATGAAAGAACTAAGCATCTGGACATTGACTGCCATGTGGTCAGGAATAAGTACAAGGATGGTTTTATCTTGCCTCAACACATCTCTTCTTCTCTGCAGCCTGCTGATACTTTCACCAAACCGCTTGGCGGGGCTGATTTTCGTTTCTTCTTGCTCAAGTTGGGAATGGTGGATTTGAGCCACATTCCCACTTGAGGGGGGGGGGGGGGGGNGAGCTTTCAAGTTTTACACCGCAGCAGGAGCCGGACCTTGTCGTGACGGATGGAGTTGAAAGTATTGAGCCGCGCGCCGGAGAAGACTTCGATGGTGGTGAGGCGGCGGAGGTTTCTCCAGTGGTCGCCGTAGGGGGAGCCGACGAGGGTGGTGTAGTTGTAGCTGATGTATTTGCCGATCATCAGCTGGGGGCGATTGGCGAGGACGACGTCGTTTCTGGTGAAGCACTCCTCGACGAGATCCGAGGAGGGGACGACCACTGCAAGGCGGCGGCCAAGGCGGAGGGAGAAGATGGGTCCCGCTTTCTGGGCGAGGCGATGGTAAGTGCGGTGGATGGGGGTCTTGAGGAGATGGAGATGGCCAAGGATCGGGAGGGCCCGGGCCGGGCTTGGCGGGAGTTTGTGGTTTTTGCCCTTTTGTGAGAATGATAATTTTAGGGTGATTAGGAGGATAAGGAAGAGACCGAGGGCGTAGGACAGCCAGCTGATTTCCATTATTTATTTTGTGATTTTTTTTTGTTTTATTTCTTTATAATAATTTTTGTTTTTATGTTGTAAGATTGAGTTTACTTTCAACTTATTTATATATATGCCAGGCAAACAGGTGGGTTTGAATTTTAAAATTGTTGAATAGTAATAGCTTTGACTATATACTCTTGAGAGACGAATAGTATATGTTTGGGGTAGGATTTGTAACATTTCCTCTCATCCAAGTCTCACCTAATCACTTCCAATTGCAGAACTTTCAAGAAGAGAAATCACGGGATTCTCTTTGGCACTAGCCTTCTTTTACGTCATTATTATTGTTTTTGTCGGTTATGATGATCGTCATAAAAATTGTGTTCGATTGGTTGCAAAAATTATTATTAGATGAAGTCGGGGATTAAACTGATCAATCGAGTTTAATATAATAATCTTTCTTGAACTAAGTTGGAGACATTATTCAACTAACGTATTTGGTGACAGTAAATAATCGAACATCACTCCATACAAACAACATCAGGAATCCAATTTTCTTAGAATATTGATTCAAATGAACCTCACTTTTTATTGAATGAAAGAAACATCTACTAAGTGTAGTTGTCCGTTATTACTTACTTTTTTTTATAGAACAAACACCACAGAAGGGTAGGGGTAAGGTCGGACCCCCAACCTGTATACGGTCAGAATCCTAATTGGGTTGAAAAATCACAAGTCTACACATCCAAAAACACAAACAAAAAACACCAACAGAAAAGGAAAAAAAAAAACAACAAGCGAAGGGAAAAATATATGAATCTGGGCCAACAAGAGCCCAGGCGAGTAGTTTTCACCACGAACGGGCTAATGCACAAAAAGAAAATACAAAACGACTACCAAAATCTGAACGATGTGTAGCCCATCTAGTTCATCCGCACAAGAGTACAGAGTCGGAGACGCGTCGTCCGGATGAAAAATGCGCCTCTGAAGAGTGGAGGCGCCGATACAATCAAGGAAGTCAGAGGGTTGGTACCTCTCGCGGAAAATATGTGAGATCTGGTACCGAACCAATTGAAGAGTGCATCCGATGCGCATAAGGAGGTGCTGAATCTGCCACGGACCCTAATGGCCTGAGGCCAAGTGGGTGGTGACAGCGGCATCATACAACTCTATCCAAATGTGAGAGGCGATAGAGGCTGCAATCTAAAAATCGATCTGAAGCGTCTGAACCTCCGCGTCATTACTCGAAGAGGCCTAAGAATGGCGTTTGTTCGTTATTATCTTGCGGCTTAAGAATATACAATAATTATAGAGATCTAATTTATTTACTTTGTCAGTATATAATAAACTTATCATTCGCGAATCCATTCAATATATACACTCATAGTGTATTAGTATAATCATCCATATTACACTACAATCGTTCGCGATGATTTGTTCAATTTCATCTAGGCTATGAACCAAACTTTATTGTAGAATTTGCAATATAAAACATATTAAAAATATGTTTTTAACATTTATGTTTACAAGTTACGATAGTATGATCTTCTATTCACCGCATCTATTTAAATGTAAAAGATCATAACATAGAAACGTTTAATTAAACATGATTTTCATTCAACCGAAAATAATGTTTATAACACAAAAGCCAACTTTTAATATATACACTAACAATTAATAGAAAAAGAAATGTTTTCGGAACCTGTATATTACTCAAGCACAATATCATGATTTTACATATGTTCAACGGACTTTCAATACATATACTAACAATTAACAGAAAAAGAAATATTTTCGGAACCTGTATATTACTCGAGCATAATATCATGATTTTACATATGTTCAACAGTAAATATATATTGAAATCTTATTTGGTATGCTATTAAAGCACAAGTGAAAGAAAGAAAAGTCTGTTAAGTAATATTGGAACTATAGTACAAACTGATAATGCATAATCATACAAACTTCTCCATGGCAGAATGGAATCAAATGTTTCAGACTGCCCCACCAAACACATTCTGCAGCACATCACGAGATTTGCACATGGCTTCCAATGGTATCACTTTGGGCATCGATGTCCCGGTCCCTTCGGCCAAATCGACCAAGGCCTCATCAACCCTTTGCCACTCAAAGCCCTGAATCAGAGACCCTAAGGTCAGGCCCACCATACGTTGGGCCAGGCCCATACCCGGGCACGACCTCCTTCCCATCCCAAACGGTATCAACTTTGTCGGCCCAACCTCTCCAGCTTCGAAACGCTCGGGAATGAAGCTGGTGGGGTCGTCCCAAATTTTGGGGTCTCTATGAATGGCCCATGCATTGACAATCAGGATGGTGCCACGTGGTATATGGTACCCACCGATGGTACAATCACTCGATGCCTCGTGAGGTACAAGCAGTGGAGCTGCTGGGAACAATCGGAATGTCTCGGAGATAACGTGTTGAAGGTAAGGGAGGTTGGATAAATCGGACTCTTCGATCAGGCGGTCTTTCCCGACGAGATTGTCGATCTCGATTCTAGCCTTGTTGAGTTTCTCGGGATTGTTGAGTAGGGCAGACATGGCCCATTCTATGGTCACTGCTGACGTGTCGGTCCCGGCTAGCAGCATAACCTGCCGTAAAGCACGTACGTATTCATGTGACATGTCATTTAGATTAATCAATTGGTAGATTCCGTGGTCAAACTTGGCTCCTAAGGAGAAAGGGATGAGTCCTGTTTTTTTGTTTCGATAATCACTCAGTATGGACGTATGGTGACATGACATCCATGATCCATTTTGGAAAGTTTAATGTTTGTCCAAACTCATAAATGCCATTAAGAAGCCGTTCATTCATAGTATAACTATTCATTAAAACTGTTTTTAAGAAGTATATACTTTTAAATTAAAATGTGATATTCTACAAAACTAAATAAATACTTTAAAAACTAATTAAATAAATAAAATTTTGATATTTTATATTATAAATATAAAATTTTAGTTATAGAAGTATATAAGTCAAAACTTCTACCAATTATACAGTTTCACAAATAAAGTTGGGGAGACGAGAGTGAAAAAATTACTTGGATGTACAATATTTCATTCTATACTTATTGCAACTCAAAATATAACTCAATTTTACCCAATATCCATAATTTTTAATATTATTATCATAATTAAATAATACTAATAAATTATATATTTTCATATCACATCAATTTTGATACTTTATTCATTAATTTTAACTAAATATCAATTCACATTATTATACTTGGTAACTCAAATCAACTCGATCTTACTTCTTATTTTCTAAATATTATTTCAGTAAAAACTCAAAATCCCACTATCAATTAAATATATTTATTTTTTTTTAAATTAATTCTAATTAATAAAAAAAAAATTGAGCACAAATTTTTGTACCAAGCACACCCTAGAAGAACATACCAGAATAATTCCTTTAATGGTGACGTCATTGTAGTACTCGGGTTCACTCTCCTGCAGGGAAAGCAGGTGATCGATCATGGTGTTGCTGCCCTTGCTCCGCCGTTGATCGTCAATCAGCCTCTGCAAAACGGTATCCATTTTCCCGCCTACCGTGGCCAATTTCTTCAGGAACCCCTTGTAATCGATCCACCTCAGCACCGGGAAGAAATCCGCCGGGTGGGACACGCCACCGTAGCCGAGAACCTCCTCAATCAGCTCCCGGAACTCCCTGGCTTCCTCATCCCCATCGTCAACCACCCCGAAGTACCTCTTCCCGGCCACCATCCGCATGATATTGTTGAAGGTCACCTCCAAAACCACAGATCTGAGCTCCACCCTCGCAAATCCCCCGGACGAAGACGAGGCCCAGTTGTGGAGCTTCCGCAGAAGGAGCCGGACCTCGTCGTGCCGGATGGAGTTGAACGTGTTGAGCCGCGCGCCGGAGAAGACCTCGATGGTGGTGAGGCGGCGGAGGTTCCGCCAGTGGTCTCCGTAGGGGGAGCCGGCGAGTGTGGTGTAGTTGTAGCCGATGAATTTGCCGATCATTAGCCGAGGGCGGTTGGCGAGGACGACGTCGTTTCGGGTGAAGCACTCCTCGACGAGATCTGAAGAGGAGACGACCACGGCAAGGCGGCGGCCGAGGCGGAGGGAGAAGATGGGGCCCGCTTTCTGGGCGAGGCGGTGGTAAGTGCGGTGGATGGGGGTCTTCAGGAGGTGGAGGTGGCCAAGGATTGGGAGGGCCCGGGCCGGGCTTGGCGGGAGTTTGTGGTTTTTGCCCTTTTGTGAGAAGGATTTGAGGGAGATTAAGAGGATGAGGAGGAGAGTGAGGGAAGGGTAGAGCCAGCTGATTTCCATTGTTGATTTTGTGATATTTTATTTTATTTTATTTTATTTTTGGTGTAAGTTTGAGTTTATCTTTCAACTTATTTATATAAATGCCAGACAAAGAGGTGGGGTTGGATTTTAGCTATATGTGCTTGTCTTGAGAGAAGATTAGTATGTTTGCCGTAGGATTTGAAAATTTTAAAATAGTATTGCAGAACTTTCAAGAAGAGAAATCGAAGACGGGTTTCTCTTTGGCACCAGGCTTCTTTTACGACATTTTTTTTCTTTTTTTATATAAAAATTGATTAAAGAACTATCAAATAATACAAGATTTAACCAAATAGTTACACAACTAACCAAAGAGCTAGCAGAAGAGAGGAGAGGCACAATAATAAACCGTAAAGTAACTCATCTACAACAAAAACAAACTAATAAAGCTAAGGGCTTGTTTATGAAATAATTTGTTCAAAATGAGTTATTTTAGTTAATTATAGTTAATTTTTAAAAATGTAGTATAGTTAGTTGTTAGTGGAATTTTAATAATGTATTAAAATAATATTTAAAAAAAATGATTAAAATTAATTTGATGTAAAAATAAAAGATAAATGATTGGAAATGATATGTAGTTAAAATTTTGTGAGTGGGTTAATAGTGAATTAATGTTGATGTTATGTGTAAGAATAATTAGTTTGTATTATTTAATTACATGAATAATATTAAAAATAATGAGATTGAGTTATGAGTTAGATATTGAGTATGAAATAAATGTGAATAAATTATTTCATAAACAATCAAACCCTAAACAACTTTGAGAAAAGCAAAAAAAATAAAAAGTAAAAAAGATTCTTAATCGATTTGCGAAGAGGTAGATGTCTTTGACTATGACATTGCCTTTTTGTTCATTTTTTGTGCAATACCCTGTCATGGCGGCGATGGCCGGAGAAGAGGCCGTGGAAACGGAAAAAGCGCAGACCGTCGAGGGAGAAGAAAGGACGGGTTTTGAGAATGAAATTACAAAGGGAAATTAAATTAAGGATTGTTGATTTTCCTATTTTTAAGTAGCAGCATTTTATTATTAGTGGGCCAAGTGTTTTGGGTTTATTTTATTATTAGAGGATGAAATTAGCTGGAAGTTGGGTTTATGTTGTTAGCAATGCCCAAATGAATGATGTATTTAAGCAACACGTGGTGAGGAAAATGGGTATCAATCAGTTATCAAAATATTCTTTATCTCTCCTCATGTCACTTTCTCTCTTTTTCTCTCTCTACCTGTCTCTTCTTCCCCAAGTTCCCTTTACAGTAAATCTCCATTAATTCCATACAATTACAGTAAATTAAACATACACGAATTACAACAAATTACAACAATTGGTATCATCGGAGTCCAGCAATCCTCGCGATGGCCGAGAACACGCGCCTCAAAGACCTGCAGGAACAGCAAAAGAAATTGGATCAATTTGTCCATACAGAAGTTCTCAAGAGAGAATCCAGTGAGCTAAAATTACAGGAGAAAATGGCCGGGCTCAACTCGGATTTGCAGAATAAAATTACGGGTCTATCTTCTGAGCTGAAGGATAGGATGGGAAGCTTAGATGGTAAGTATGACAATATGGCAAATGTGCTAGCCTCTATTCAGCTGCAATTGATGAATCTGAACAAGGGAAAAACCACTGAAGAGGAGGAATCCATTTTGGGTCCCCATTTTCAGCACACACCTAGGCAAGGGCCATTCTCTAAAACTCAGCACCCCTTCAAACCACTGCAGTTGGAACACCAGACCCATTTCATTAATCCCATGCCTAAATTGGATTTTCCCAGATTTGATGGTACTAACCCAAGAAATTGGATACTCAAGTGCAATGGCTATTTTAAGATTATTCCAAATATCCCTGACTCCCAAAAAATCATCATGGCATCAATGCACTTTGATGGCAGAGCAGCTCATTGGTACCAGAATTTTTGTACCAAGTATGAGGGGTGCAATTGGTCACAGTTCCTAGAAATTGTGTCCTCCAGGTTTGAGGAGATCAAAGAGGCTAAAATTATTGGGGAATTTAACAAGCTGAAACATTCTGGTTCCTATGAGGATTATGTAGAAAAATTTGAAGAACTTAAATCCTGCATGTTGTTATTCAATACAGGTGAATTCACAGAGGACTACTTCATTGCTAGTTTTCTGAGTGGATTGAGTGAGGAATCCCAAGCTTTCATCAACATGTTTGAGCCAAAATCTCTGCAGCAAACTATTGATTTGGGAAGGAAACAGCTGTGTACTATGGAGGCCATCACTAACAGGGTGAAAAATCATTACAAACCTCAAAGCCCACACACCACTTACTACAGGAAACCTGATGGCAATACCAACTACAGAGGCCAGATTCCAAATACACAGTTTAAACCCCCCATTAAATTGCTTACAGCCCATGAAATGGCTGCCAGAAGAGAAAAAGGGTTGTGCTACAATTGTGATGAATCCTATGTCCCTGGTCACAGATGCAAAGCAAGAATCACATACATGATTATGTCAGAAGAAGAAGAATTATCCTACTTAGGTCATGAAGGGGAAGACACTGAACCAGAAATTCCCTCTGACATTGAAGAGATTCAAATGTCCTTAAATGCCTTGGCAGGAGAACAAGGGCTGACTACTATGAGACTTCTGGGAGAGTGTGATGGACAGAAGCTGCACATCCTAATTGATTCTGGTAGTACTCTTAGCTTCATTCAAGAAAGTACTGCCAAGAAATTAGGGTGCCCCTTACAAAAGGCCAAACCCATCATGGTCAGGGTGGCTAATGGGCACAAGATGGTGAGCACACAGAAGGCAGAAGGTTTCCAGTGGAAAATGCAGGGTCACAAATTTACCTACCCACTCAGACTACTACAAAATGAAGGCTGTGACCTCATACTTGGTGGTGATTGGTTGAAGTCCTGTACTCCAATAGAGCTTGACTATAACAAAATGACTTTTACTGTCACATTACAGGGCAAGAGGGTCAAACTACAAGCATTGACCACTGCTTCAGATTGCAAATTCATTTCTGGGGATGCCTTGTATAAGCTGGTTCATCAAGAAGGAAATCAAGTAGAAGAACTATACCTGCTAACTACTAAGGTGGATGATCCTAAGCTGCACCCTCTCCTTGAGGGCTTACTAAAAAGGTACAATGTGGTTTTTCAAGAACCCACAGGGTTGCCACCTGCGAGGACTGTTGAGCACCAAATAATCCTGAAAGAAGGAAGTGTGCCTAAACACCAATATCCCTACAGGGCATCACATGCCCAGAAAGATGAGATTGAAAAGATAGTACAGGAGATGCTGGAAATGGGCATTATTCAGAACAGCCACAGCCCCTTTGCATCCCCTGTTATATTGGTCAAAAAGAAAGATAACACATGGAGAATGTGTGTTGACTATAGGTATCTCAATGACCTTACCATAAAACATGACTACCCTATCCCAGTGATAGATGAGCTGCTAGATGAACTTCATGGGGCAAGATACTTTTCCAAAATAGACCTACGGTCAGGGTATTTCCAGATCCTAATGAAACCCTCCCACAGACAATACACAGCTTTTTCTACCCATAATGGCCACTATGAATACCTGGTTATGCCTTTTGGTCTGTGCAATGCCCCAGCTACCTTTCAGTCATTGATGAACCAAGTATTCAGACCTTACCTGAGGAAGTTTGTTCTGGTTTTCTTTGATGATATTTTGGTCTACAGTACAGGTTGGGAAGAGCACCTTAGCCACCTAGAGACTGTTTTGATGACATTAAGGGACAATCAATTGTATGCTAAGATGTCTAAGTGTCAGTTTGGGCAGACTGAAGTAGAGTACCTTGGCCACATCATATCACACCAAAGTGTGGCTACTGATCCAGCTAAAGTGGCTAGCATGTTAAGCTGGCCTACTCCCTGCAGCTTCAAGCAATTAAGGGGTTTCCTAGGCCTCACTGGGTACTATAGAAGGTTTATTAAAGGCTATGGGGTTATTAGTAAACCAATGACTAATTTACTAAGAGCTGACAAGTTCAGTTGGACTGAGGAAGCTGAAGAAGCCTTCCAAGCCCAAAAAAAGGCTATGGTCACAGCCCCTGTACTAGCCATGCCAGACTTCTCCCAGCCACTAATTTTGGAGACAGATGCTAGTGGCAAGGGAATTGGGGCAGTGCTTATGCAAGAAGGAAGGCCAATTGCTTTTATGAGCAAAGGATTGTGTCCTAAAAATCAAGCACTCTCAATTTATGAAAGGGAGTTCCTAGCTGTTCTAATGGCAGTGCAAAAATGGAGAGGTTACCTGTTAGGTCATAAATTCATCATCAAAACTGATCAACAAGCATTGAGATATTTACTAGACCAGAAGGCAATGAACCCTATGCAGCAAAAGTGGCTTACCAAATTGTTGGGGTTGGACTATGAAATTCATTATAAAAAGGGGGTAGATAATAAAGTTGCAGATGCATTGTCTAGAAGAGGACAAGAAGAAGCTGACTGCATGGCAATTACAACCCTTACACCCCAGTGGGTTGGCAAAGTGATAGACAGCTATGCAGCGGACCCCTATTGTCAAAAGATCTTGCAAGCTCATGCCATGAAAGATCCTACCTACTCTGATTTCCAGGTCTCAGGTGGACTGATAAGATTCAAGGGCAGACTTATGGTGGGCTCGGACACTGATTTAAGACAGACCATACTCAGCACAATACATGACTCTTCTTATGGGGGTCACTCAGGGGTAAATGGTACATATATGAGGATGAAAAGTAGTTTTTTCTGGCCACTCATGAAAAAAGATGTTATTGCTTGGGTAAGTGCCTGTGAAGTTTGCAAGAAGAGTAAACCGGAGAATGGGCCTTATCCAGGGCTGTTACAACCCTTGCCTATACCTGAGCAGGCATGGACACATGTGTCCATGGATTTCATCGAGGGCTTGCCCAAGTCTGCTGGCAAAAATGTCATTCTTGTGGTGGTGGACAGGTTTACCAAGTATTCTCACTTCATTCCTTTGTCCCATCCCTTCACAG